CTCCCTTGCCAGGTTTCCACAAGCTCATAGGGCCTGGCTTTTCCTGCTACTGTCTTTGTTAATTTAGCTGCAGCACTAGGTGCTCACAAAATTTAAGACTGGCATCAGCAAACACAGGTGTGACTGGAGAGAGCTTTGTGGATACACTGCCCCAACCTGTGAACCTGATCCTAGAATTGCCCATGTATCTGATATTGAATTATTTTTGGTCTTAAATAGGCTCTATAAAAATGCATGCATACCTGGGAGACTTCTGTGGTAGTCTGAATAAAAAGGGCTCCCATGGGCTCATAAGGAGTGGCACTATTAAGAGGTGTGGCCTTGTTGGAGGAAGTGTCTCATTAAGGTGATGGGTTTTGAGGTCTCAGATGTTCAAACTAGGTCTAATGTGGCATTCACTTGTGATGCCTTTGGAGCAAGATGTAGAGCTCTCAGTTTCTTCTCTGGCACCATGTCTGTTGGTGTGCTGACATACTTCCCACCATGATGACAATGAACAAAACCTCTTAACTGTAAGCCAGCTCCAATGAAATGTTTTCCTTTATAAGAGTTGCCATGGTCATAATGTCTCTTCACAGCAATAAAACCCTAAGACAGCTTCTAAGCTGAATGGCTTAGTTATGACAATGTAGTGAAACATATTTAATAAAGAGAGGAAGTTAAAGTGGGACTGAGACTTGTCTCTCTCTCTCTCTCTCTTTCTCTCCATCTATATCATCTATATAGATGTATGTAGATATGCAGAAATCTCTTTTATTATATATATGCATATATTCACATATATACATGTATGAGTTTGTGCATATGATTGTGTGTGTGCGTGTGTGTGTAGTGCACCTTGGGTGTTATTCCTTAGGTACAATCGGCAGTTCAGTTCACAACCTGATCCACTCGCAAACACTTCACGGATACACCGGCAGTCCAGTTCGGTAGGATCAGTAAGCAACAGTGGTAATATGACATAGCAGAGACAGCCAGGCCTCAGCCTCGGCTTGAGTCATCAGGAGGGACCCTGAGGGACACCAGGAGAAGTTCTTGACTGTTCTCTCAGGGATGCAAAGATCAGCGAAGATGCGAGATCCAAAAGCATTGCACAGCTAGCTGTACCAGCAAGCCAAGCTCTGTCTCTGTCACTCTGTCAATTCCTATGTATATCCTCCAAACATCACGTGTCCTCCACGTGCCTTGCCTCAGTACATGCATCCAATCAGCCTGAGACCATAGAGTCCTGACAAATGGGGCTCAACTATGCAATGTAAGGTGAACCAATACATGTGTGTTGTTAGCAAAGAATCCTTCATCATGTGTCCTTTCACGTGCTTACTTCAGCAGAACATCCTCTCTCCTGTGTCTGCTTCAGTGAAACATTTCTTCACGAGTCTGCCTTAGCCTTTCACACCTCTGTCCACTTCAGGAAAACACTCCTTCACATATTTGCCCCAGCAAAACACCATCCAACACAACTGACTCTCCAAAGAAGTTTCCACTTCAATTACCCTAGCTAGCCGAAGAAATTCTGAGCAAAAAAGAGAGCTGCTAGAAGTATCCCTATGCCTGGTTTCATGCCATACTACCTAGCCACAGTAATAAAGGCTGCATGCTACTGGAACAAAACCAGACATGTAGCTCAATGGGATAAAACAGAGATCCCAGAAACAAGGCCATGCAATTAAGAGCTACCTGGTTTCTGACAACGATGTAAAATATACACATTAGTGAAAAGACAGCCCCTTCAACAAATGGTGTTTAGGAAGCTAGGTCTGTATGCAGAAGGATGAAACTGGACCCTTATTTTTCACCCGACATAAAACAGCTCCAAATGGTTTCTCAAAGAACCTCAGAGTCATATCTCAAAGTCTGAAAAGCATAGATGAGAAATCAAGAAGTACATTCAAGATACAGAACTCTGACTGCCCAGGGAGAACAACTATCAATACAATTAAAAGCAAGAACAGAGCGAATTGTCAATCAAATTAAGAGAATGCATAGAGATTGGGAGAAAAAAATCTTTGCAAACTGTACATTCAACAGAGGATTAGTATCTAGAATATACGAAGAACTCAATAAACTAAACATTGAGAGATTACATAATCTAATCAACAAATGGGCTAGAGAGAGTTCTCAATAAATACAGTCTGCAACATGCTCCACCTTTTTAGCCACCAGGGATATGAAGAGATTTCACTCCACCCATTCAGAATGGCTAGTCATCAAGAAACCCAAATATAAGTGCTGGGAAGGACATGGAGAGAGAGGAACCCTTCTCCACTGTTGCTGAGAGTGTAGCCTGGTGCACATACGATGGATGGTAGTGTGGAGGTTTCTCGAAAAGCTGAGACTAGAACTACTATCTGCCTCAGCTACACCATTTCTGGGCATATATCCTAAGGATTCCATGTCTTACTATAGCACACATGCACACCCGTATTTACTGTGTTTTTATCCAAAGTAACTAGGAAATAGGATCAGAGTAGATGTCCACCACCTGCTGCATGGGACAATGGAGATGTGGTGTGTATACACAATGAGACTTTATTCAGTGGAAAGAAAAATAAAATTTGCAGGTAAATGAACTGTAAAATATTATACTAAGCCAGGGGACCCAGGCCCAGAAAGACAAATGCCACATGTTCTTTCTCAATGTGGATCTGAGTTTCAAACTTTATATTTATGTACCTAAAATGGGGTGCCTGTGGGGACCAGTAAGCTGGAAAGGTCCCACAAAAGGGAGGGAAAGAGGCCTCGGGGTGGGGAGGGAATAGTAGAGTGAGCGAATGTGATTTGACAGAAGAGAGCAATACTGGGAGTTAAAGGTTTCTGTGGGGATGAGGGCAGGGGCAGAGGTGAGTTAGTGGAAACCACTCTCGTATGAAAAAGCCTCATGGAAATTTAACACTTTGTATGCTAATTAAAAATAATTTTAAAAAGGGTTTTGAATGAAGGGCTAATAGCAAAAAGAACTTTAAGAAGTTTAACACTAAGAACATTCCCAATCCCAGCCCTTGGGAAGCAGAGGCAGGAGGAGCCCAAGTGTGAAAACAGACTTGACAGCCTGGTGAGTTCAAAATCAGCCAGGATCACATAGCGAGTGAAACTTCTCAAAATCATCACCAACCTGACCAGGCTGGGTACATGGCTCAGTGGGTTTCCCTGAAGTGGAAACACTCTGTTGGGAAACAGCCACAGCTGACCTGCTGCATTGGAGTTGCTGTGAACCTTGAATTTGTAAAAGTCCAATTATCTGTTAAGCAAGATGAAGATTTACAAAGGATGCTAAATCTTGTCCATAGAGAGCTTCAATGTTTGAGGATTCTTTCCTCCTGAGTAATGATGGATTTCTTACCCCCTTTCAGCTTGCTAGAACAACCTACAGCTAAATTACTAAAGGATGATAACTCTCTTTTTGTATAAAATCTGTGAAGATTCTTCTTAAATGTTGAAACAGACTTAGCTTGGAGCCAGGTGTATAGTTTGGCGTTACAGATCTTACCTCGCAGCTCAAAGGCTCTGTGCTCCCGGCAGGATGGCTAGAACCTAGGCTGAGTTATTTCTGCTTGTTCTTCCTTAACCTGTTTTTTTTTTTTTTTTTTTTTTTTGGAGAATATATTTTTTTTTCTCGTCACTTGTACTACGCACAGGTATCCAGGACTGCTGGTTTTATAGTTTATTATTTTTCATGGGCATCGAGACTTGAACCCAGGGTCTCAACATGTTAAACTCATGCTGTCCAACTAAGCTTTTATGCTCAGTTCAACCCTAATACTGAAAACATGGACGTTGACACCTCTTCCCCACACTTCAGAGATGTACAGATGCAAAGTGTGTAACTGTGAATGGATGCGTGCACTTGTGTAAGCAAGCTCCGCGGTCAGGGGATAAGAGGAGGGTGTTGAGTGTCTTCCTCTACCACACTCCATCTAGTCCTTTCAAGTAGCCTCTCCCTGAACACAGGGTTGGAATTTTCTTGTCTAGGCCGAAAGCCAGCAAGCCTCACTGATTTTTCGGTCTCTACCTACCTTGAATCTGGGAAATTAAGAGTCTGAGATGCGCTGAGCAGTGGCTCACGCCTTTAATCCCAGCACTTGGGAGGCAGAGGCAGGCGGATTTCTGAGTTTGAGGCCAGCCTGGTCTACCGAGTGAGTTCCAGGACAGCCAGGGCTACACAAAGAAACCCTGTAAAAGTCTGAGATGCCTGGTTCGTTATGTGGGTGCTGGGATCTGAACTCTGGTACTTATGATTGCACAGCAAGCACTCTTAGCTACCACTCCAAGTGGCCAGTTCTCCAAGACTACGTATATTTCAAGAGACGGATTAAATGGAAAGAGGTATAAAAAGCAAGCCCTGTTTTGAGAACCCATTGTATCGTGGCACTGCACTTGTTCTTAAGGAGACTCTGGGAATGAAGCAGTGACAAGCATGATCTTTGAAGTGGGTAAGCAACATGTGTTTTGCAGCCTTGAGCTATGCAGGAGAAGCCAGTTTGTAGGGCTCAAGTAGCAGTAGGGTGGCGATGCTCAAGCTAAGTTAGGCTCAAGGCCGGAAGAGGATCGCCAGGTAGATTGTGGGCCATGCAAGCAATCTTGAGGGTTGGTGGAGATGTTTGACCTGGAGCCGCAGGAGGGGCGGGGCAAAGCGGGGTTGGGCTAGGGGGCGCGGCACAAAGGAGGAGCAAGGGTAGGGCGGGAGCTGGGGAGAGGTTAGGCTCTGGGGCGGGATGAGGGCGGAGCTAAGTGGGGCGGAGCCCAGGGAAAAGGACGAGGTTGATTGGGGAGGAGCTGGGGAGAGGGCGGAGCTGAGGGGGACGAGGGCGGGACTAAGGGGTCGGAACTCAGAGGGTGGAGCAGAGGGGAGGGGCCTAGGGCGGGGGCGGGGCCAAGGGGCGGGGCCGGACAGTTCCTGGCGGCAAGGCTGGTGCTCGCGCAGCTCTGGCGGATCCTGCCTGGCAGCTGCAGGACGCGCTCAGAGCTCGAGGCAAGGGCTCCTATCGCTTCCCGCGGCCATGGAGCGGCTGACGTTGCCTCCCGGCGGAGCGGAGGCGGTGGACGAATACCTGGAGTACCGGAGGTGAGGCCTTAGTTTTGCTCCGCGGGGCCGGCTCCCGTTGAGGGCTCGGTCTCTGGTCGGAGCACCTTGGTACAAAGTGGGACCCGGCGAGCGAGCGCACTAGCGCTCCAGGAGTCCGTTCCTGTGTTGTTAGAGAGGCCTGGATTAATTTCACATTTCATCTTCTGTAATTAAATTTGCTGACACACAGTTCTATTCTATAATGAATCTCTTCTGAGACCACTTGAGAGTCTCCCTTGCCAAAAGGGATGATTAACTACTTTTATAATGGATCCTTTTCTGTTTTTCTTAGTGACAATTGAAGAATTAAATATTGGGTCTATAAAAGTTAGTAGATGTCAGTTTGTACATTAATTCAGTAATGGATAAGGCGTGAACTGCCGAATACTTTCCCAAACCAAGGAAGATGGTTTTAGGACTTAGTTTCCGAGACTCCTCTCTGGAAGCAGGGGACACAGAAGCTTTCTCTTTTGGCCCGAGGACACACAAAGGCTTACACATCTGCCTCCAAGTTCCCAGCGCCCAGGAAAGGTTTCTTTTTGACAGTTGGGAAACTGGGAGAATAGGGGTTACAGACAACTTGGAGGGTTGTGTGTGCACAAATGAAAGGCCAGATGTGTAGAGCTTCCCCCCAGTTATTGGGGGTGGGGGGTGTCTAGGCAGTTGGGTTTCCCAGCATATTACCCCACTAATGTAGTTTTGGGTAATGCTTAGAACTTTCTGAAGATTCTGAACAGGAAACGTGAGGTGGAACGGCTCGATTGGTCTGGCTTAGTTAGATTTCTATTGCTCTATTTAAATGCTATGATCAAAAGCAGCTTGACGAGGAAAGGGTTTATTTCAGTTTATAGCTTGTAGTCCATTATCCAGGGAGGTCAAGTCATGCAGTGCCCCTGGAGGGTGCTGCTCATTGCTGCTCATGGCTTGCTCAGCCTGCTTGCTTATAGCATGGGAGACAGTGCCCAGGAGCGGCACCGCTCTCAGTGAGCTGGGCCCTCCCACATCAATCCGAGGTCCAACTACAGGCTTGCCCACGGGCCAGTCGTGTGTGTGTGTGTGTGTGTGTGTGTGTGTGTGTGTGTGTATGTGTGTTGGGGTCATTTTCTCAGTTGAGATTTTCTATTTGACTCTAGCTTGGGTCAAGTTGACATAAAACTGGCTTCCTTAGTTTTGCTCTCTGGCTTTTCCTGGGACTTGTCTCTTGTCTAGAAAATGCTAGGAACAGGCTCATGGAAAATTATTTTTGCAAGCATAAATATTATGGAACATGTCCCTTTAAGAGAGATTATCTTGTCCTTTACAGTCAACAAGATTTGAGAAACATGAGGAGTTGGCCTTCTAGATATAAAAGGGTTTTATGGGAAAGGCTTCCCAAAATGATCCCTATCAGAAGTAAACTTTCCTGTTGTCAGGGGCCAGGTCTGTAATTTCAGCCCCGAGGAAGTGTCTAGGAGGGTAGTAAGTTCAAGATCAGTCTAAACCAGGTGGTAAGAACCTGCTGAAAACCTAAGGGCTCGGCTCTAGCTCAGTGGCAGAGCCATCGCCTGGAAAGTGCAAGGCACTGGGTTCTGCAAACAAACACGTAAAAAATGCCAAGCAAAACGCGTTTCCAGTTTTTAATTTTTGGCTTGCCTTTGGTGAGGCACCTGGGAGGGAGTTTACAGTCTTTTTTCCTGTTTTGTTCTTTTGTTTGTTTTGTTTTTCAAGACAAGGTTTCTCTGTATAGCCTTGGCTGTCCTGGAACTCACTCTGTAGACCAGGCTTGCCTCAAAATCAGAAATCTGCCTGTCTCTGCCTCCCAAGTGCTGGGATTAAAGGCATGAGCCACCATTGCCCGGCTGAGTTTACAGTCTTTTTCCTCAAAAGACTGTATCAAAAAGACCCCATCAAAAGATGGGGTGCCTGGGGACTTACTAGAAAAGCAGGATCTCAGACTTAGCTGGACTCAGTAGCTCAGTTCAGCAGGTGAATAAGATGCTCTGGAAACAGTGGACTTACAATAAAGCTTGAGCTGTTTTGGTTTGGAATTTAGACACCAACACTTTCTTACTTAAAAGATTTGCATTTATCCTTCCCTTTTTCTGAATCTGCTGGTGTTCTTTGATGGCTATAATAAAACGTTATCTTAGAATAAGTGCATTAAAAAAAAAAACATTGTGTGTCCAGAGTAATTAAGCAAAGGAGAGAACCAGGAAGGGCAAGCATTAGGGGAGAGGAAGGGCTGGATTCAGATGACAGGCACAAGTAGGAAAGGGGATAGAAAGCTCTGTCGTGCATTCTTTTGTTTTCTTGGTGGATAAGTGCATAAACATAGACTAAATTGTTTAAGTGTGAAGTCCCGTGGGAAGCCCCACAGCTTCAGGACTCTAACTTTGCGGAAGTCCACTGAGATGTATAGACTTTGGGGCTGGGTCATCATAGTGTGTGACTTTTATTATATTTGTAGGGTTTTAAAAGTTTATTTAAAACAGCACGGGAGAAGATTTTACTGATTGAATAGGTTATTGGGTTTCTGTTTCCTACTACAACTAGCTATTTTAGAACAAGAAAAAAAGCATGTTATATACAAAAAAATCATAAGCGTTCTATAAACAACACTTTTCAGGAATTAAAGGGAGATAATTTCAAAGAGAACTTTCCTCTGTTTTGAATAATTTTTAAAATTTTTTTTTAAAAGTGTATTTTTCCTTCTCACAAAGCAAAATTTTCCCCATAGAAATAGTGCAGGCTGATTTTTTTTTTCCACAGAATTTTGGGATCTGAAATTAAACCTTGAAACATCTGATCACCCACTACATACTATGAGTTTGAGCTTGTGTAAATCAGAGCATGTTTTCAGAGATCACGTGACCTTCAGCTTCTGCCCATAGGTCAGAGATCGGATATGGCAAACAGTTATGCTGGCTTCTGCACTGATATATTTTTAGTTTTAGGTGCTGTTTTTAAAGAATGTAAACATACTTTTTTAGCAGAGTAAGCTCAAGATTTTTATTTTCTTGAGATGGGTTGGGTCTTGGTGTGTAGAGCAGGCTGGACTCCAACTTATCTTCCTGCCTCAGTGTTTTCAGATAGGATTGTGGGAGTCCAACCACCATATCTAGTTTAGGCTCTAGCTTTTAATGAGAAGTATGAATATTTGTTTCAGAATTAAAGGAGAAATTAAGATGAGTATGTGATAATTCTCTGCTGGCAAACCTTGGTAAGTGTATGGTTACTTTTCTCTTGCTGTGATAAGATACCATAGTCAAAAGAACTTCAAGAAGGAAGGATTTTATTTTGGCTTGGGGTAGAGCCTGTCCCAGCCAGGATGGTGTGGCCTGGCCTGGCGTGGTGGCAGGAGTCGGAAGATGGCTTATTGTACTTTGTCTGCACATAGGAAACTGAGAGAGACAGAGCAGGAAGTGGAGGAGCTATAGTCCCTCAAAGTTGGCCTTGAGCAATGGACTTCCTCCAGCAAGGCTGCACCTCCTAAAGGTTCCAAAACCTTACCAAACAGTGGTACCAAATGGGGACCAAGTGTTCAGATACAAGAACCTATGGGGGACATTTCTCAGTCAAACCACCACAATCAGTAAAGTATTTTAAAATTGTTACCTATAATCTTTCATATGGGAAAGGAGTGGAGAGAGGATTTCTTTCCTCAGGCATCGCTGGGACCATGGGTGAAGTACCTAAAATGAGAGAGAGATTGAGTAGGGAAAAGCTTACAGAGTCAAGTTTTATGTGGCATTGGAGTGAAAGAAAATAAACTTACAGGAAATCCTGTACCTTGAGGCTTAGGTTGGTTGAATGGTGGATAGCCAGGGAGCAATATGACCGAATGACAACAGAGTGTGACCGACTGGCAGTGGACTAGGGAACTTAGGAAGGCCTGCTTGTCTAGATTCTTCTCTGTGCTGTTCTATCTTCAGAAATAAGTATGTTTTTTTCTTTCCAGGTAGAGAGGGAGGCTCCTGGGATAGGGTAGGAGCTGCTGCAGGGAAGAATATTTGGGATCATGGGAATGGCATTCCTACTTTGGCCATTTGTTCAAGAAGTTGTTTGCGCATATTGAACTCCATAAGAAGCAAATACTTTATTGTTACTGTTTGTAATTTGGCGAAGTATTTGTATTAAAAGTCAAAATCCAAGTCGAAGCCACTTTTCAATTAACTATACAAAAATAATTTAATTTTTGGATTGGAAAATACTCAAGGACTAAGAGCAAGGCTTGTTGCTGTTGTTGTAGAATTGTTGGTGAGGACGATGGAGGGAAACTTTTTACTCCTGAAGAATATGAAGAATACAAGAAAAAAGTTTTACCCATGCGTTTACAGAACAGATTATTTGTGAGTTGGCGGTCACCAACAGGAATGGATTGCAAACTTGTTGGCCCAGAGACACTGTGTTTTTGTACACATAGGTAAGATACTGTATCATTTTTTTTTATTTTTTAAAAATTATACATATGTGTGTGTCTCTGGGTGGGGATGTGCAGGTGACTGCAGAAACCTCAGGCAGATCTGCCTGGAACTGGAGTTACACATGACTGTGAGCCACCTAAGATAGGCACAGGGACCCAGACTCTGCAAGAACAGTGTGTGCACTTAGCTTCTGAGCCGTCTCTCCAACCCACCTGATCATGGTTTTCTGATGGCTAGAAAATTAAAACTGTAGCAAAAACGTGACTTCCTCCTATAAATAACAGTGCGATGATTAAGAAACATTTGATGCTGCTATTTCCATAGTGCACTAGAACTGTGTTAGGGATTTTAAACATATAATAAACTTTCATACCCTGTTAAACTTATCACAGAGTCTGTCACCATGGGCAACTCTTGTGTTGCCATTGGTAACAGAGGACGATGTTTTTCCAGAGGTCTTTCAGTCTGGGGGCAGTAGCTTCTGCTGGTCCTAATATTAGATAGGTAGACACCTGGTGGTCACACGGATCCACTCTGGTCAGTCTACCCATCCACAGTAGACCCACATCTCCTCAGAGTTACAAACTACCCTTCACCTCCTCGGGGAGTACTGGATTTGTTTGTTCATTTCTTGGACAGAGTCCTGTTATCTATCTCAGGCTGGCCTGGAACTTGGTATATAATACCAACAAGCCTCAAATTCATGAGTCTCTGGTCTGGGTCCTGGTATGTATCTCCATACCTGGCCTCATACCTTGAAATTCACATTCTTTTGACGTCAGATTGTTGCGTTAAAAAACATTACCTAGAAAAGAGACCTGAGGGGCCAGTCATAACGTGTGTTGTTTGTACTGTTGTGCCTGTGCATTCCTTCCAATTTTTCTATCATCTCTCAGTTGTAAACATCAAAATGACCAAATTGCTTTGCAAAAAGTACAAGACAAAAGAACCACTGAACACAGTACCTATTTTTAGGGACCAGGTTTAACTTTTCAGCCTAAGGAATCCATTGAAGGGGAACCGCCTTGTTTCAACAGTAACTTCTGAGGCTGTTTCTGAGAGATTCTTTGTCTAGTTGCTGTTTACAGAGTTGCAGTTTGCCAGAAGGTGTTAGGCAGTTGCTAGGATGAGTAATGTGTATAGACTGCCTGTCAACTTACCTAGAAACCCTGACTAAAAACACCAGGGAGGAACGGAGGGTGACGGCTACGTGTTCATATCTGTCAAAACTGAAGAGCTTGGGCAAACTTGTGGTAGTCTTATAATCTGTGCCTGCGAACATTTAATGTCAGTTTCTGTGTGGAATTTGTGCAGCCTGAAAATGATCCTCAAGATTCAACCCGACTACAATGAAGACATTCATTGTAGTAGTATTCATTACTTAATAAAATTCCTATCCAACGTGTATCTTTCTGTTTATAAAAAATGGAGAATATTCAGAATGGTAGTCAGACACTGACCACCCAGGGCCTGTTAGTGCTCTTCATTTTATCTGTGTAATTTTCTCTTTGTATTGTTCATTTAGTTGTGTATTCTGTGGGCGTATAAAATATGACACTGTTTTTTCATGACTGGGTCACAGAAAATGTGTATGTACGTGACCATCAGTTATCTCAAGGCAGGTTTTTATGATTGCTCTGTGTTTCAGCTAGTCCAGTGGTGTTCACTGTCATTCTTGAAGCCATGGGCGAGTCTCAGGAGTCCGCCAGGCAGAAAGGCAGGTTACACGGATGGGGATTCCAATTTCTGTCCCTCCCTGGGCTTTAACCAATGCAACTTCTAAATATCTTATATTATAGTATTGTGATTCTGTGAAGGTTCTTATCTAAAGAGAGGGCTTCACTGCTAAAAAGATGTGAAGGCAGCTCTCCAGTAATGGATTCTAGTGCATTTAATAATACCACCTTTACGTCAAACCCTAATCTGTATGCAGAATTATTTTTTTAAGACTGTATTTTCCAAAATGGATCCTGAGGTTAAAGGATGGAAGTTTTAGAGTTTCTTGAGATAAGTAAATTTCATTAAAATGATATTAAACTCATTTCAGTTTTAGATACCAAAGCGTAAAAATAAATTTAAATGATGGACTTTCATGAAGACCGTTCTTTGTAAAAATCTTGCATTTACTTATCTGTTCGTTCATTATTTATTTACTCATGTGTGAGTGCATGCGTGGAGGTCAGTGGGTCCGGGGATCAAACTCAGGACATCGGGCGTGGCAGCAAGTGCCTTTATCCACTGAGACATCTCACAGGCCCTCTTCAGCTTTCTCGGTGTGCTAGGGTACTCACTGCCTTATACACAGTAGGCAAGGGATCCACCACTAAGCTGTATCATTTTATACAGTTTTATCAAGTGTGTGTGTATGAGATAGATAGATAGATAGATAGATAGATAGATAGATAGATAGATAGATAGATGGATGACACAGGCCTGCCATGACACTGTGGATATGCACAGGACAACTTAAGGGTAGTGGTTCACTTCTCCCACCATGTAGGTTTTAGGAATCAAAATAAGGTCATCAGATTTTGTGGCAAACCTGTTCACAGACTTGCCACTTCCCTCTCACCTTAATATTTTGACAGGGTCTTGCTGAATAGCTCAGGCTGGCCTCAAACTCACAATCCTCCTGCCTTTACTTTCTGAATGCTGAAATCAGACCTGTATACCACTACACCTGACTTAGAGAAACCTGTTATAAAGAGCTGTGTTGTATGGCTGGTTGTGTTTTAGCAGTGGAACAAACACGATGCCTTAGGTTTGATTTCCAGCACAGTCCCCATAAGAGGAACATTTTCTTCCACTGAGGATATGCATCCCAGACTAAGAACTTCAGGGACAAGGATTTTAAGGGATTTATATTTCTTTATACAGTTGTAAAACTTTGTAAATAGCCAAAAAATTAAAATCTGAAAAAGTGAAGGCTCCTGACAAAAGCTGAAAAGGTTTGCTTTTACCATATTAATATAAATAAATAACAAGAGATGAAACCAGAGTCAAAATAATTATGTATGCATCTAATAGACACCAAACTGTAGCATTTGACAGTATCCAAATGTGTTTATGTTTCTGTTTTTTAAAGGTATAAACAGCACAAAACTGACTTTGAGACGATTCCACAGCAGCGTCCCATTGATCTGCCTTGCCGAGTGAGTGGTTGCCGGTGCAAGGCTTACCACTATGTCCCTCTGAACGGTACCCAGCCTATTCGGTGCAGATGCAAACACTTTGCTGACCAGCACAGCGCTGCCCCTGGCTTCACATGCAATGCCTGTAAGTTCTATTCTTATACGAAGTCGCAGAGAGTTTTAAGTTCTTCATTAAATACTTAATGGATTTTATGACAGTTTACTTAGTTACAAAGTCAGTATTTAGCTACAAAGCAAAATTCAATGGGTGGATACTCAGTTCCTGGAATGTTTAAAGTTCAGTGTCACAGAATTTAAATAATTTAAGCAATAGGAGTAGATTTTAAAGAATTACTGGACAAGACACTATTATTATTATTATTATTAATTATTATTGTTATTTTCATTTTGGCTTTTGGAGACAGGGTTCCTTTCTGTTGCCCTGGCTGTCCTGGGACTCCCTCTGTAAACAAGGCTGGCTTTGATCTCACAGAGATCCACCTAGTCCTGACTTCTAAGTTGTTGGATTAAAGGCATGAGCCACCACTGCCCAGCTCAAAAGTTGTTTTTTGTTGTTTTTCAAATTTATTTTAATTTAATTTTATGCCTATAGGTATTTTGTCTATGTGTATGTCTTTGTACCACATGTGTACTTGGTATATGTGCAGACCAGAAGAGGGTATCAGATCCCCTGGAACTGGGGTTATAGATGGTTGTGAGCTGCCATGTGGGTGCTGGGTTCTCTGTAGAAGAGCAATTAGTGCTCTTAACCACTGACCCATCTCTCCAGTTCTGATGAAAAGTTTTTAATAACGGGCTGGAGCAATGGCTCAGCAGTAAAGAACAATTATTCTTATAGAGGACCTGGGTTCAGTCCCAGCACCCACGTAATGCCTTACAACCATTCGTAGGACAGACATTGTACACATTCATACGTTTAGGCACTCGCCCATACACACAAAAATAAAATAAATAAATCTATAAAAATAATAAAAATGTTTTTAATGAGAGCTTCATTAACCTGGCTCCTTTTTGCTGTGGTAGTTGATGTTGGGTGGGCATTGTTCCCAAGATCTCATGAATGCTAGGCAAGCCCACTGAGCTACACCACCAGTCCTAAAGGAATACTTTACAGACTTAAAAAAAAAAAAACAAAGGATTTTATAAGTTAAAAATAATGCAACAACCTGACAAACAGTTCAGATTTTCTGACTGTGGGTGCTCAGTAAATTCCAATGTAGTAGTTCCAAATCCATAAACACATCTGAAGCACTTCTTACTCAAGCAGTTTGGTTAAAGGGAACTCAACCTGAGAAACAGTTTACTGACAATAGCGGAGTCACTGTGTTTCATCTGACAAGCATGGAATTAGTTGTATAAAACTTAGGGGCTTTGGTTCTTATCCACAGGTATAAGTGATCTGAGCAGGTAAAGATTTTGAATTATATATTCTGGTCTCCATTCCAATATGTCTGCTTCAAAATCAGGTCTATGCACAGGTGCATGCCTGCATGTGTGTATGACCTTGGTGCTGGCAAAGGCTAGAAGATGGCATCAGATCCCCTGAAATTGGAGTTAGAAACAGTTGTGAGCTACTCTATGGGCGTTGAGGACTGAACTCAGGTCTTCTGCAAGAACAGTATAGGCTTTCAACCTACTGAGTCATCTCCTCAGCCTTTATTTATTTGTTTGTTTATTTATTCTTTTAGAGTCAGGCTTTTGCTATGTATACAGGCCTGGCCTGAGGGCTGTGATCCTCCTGTCTCAGCCACCAAAGTTCTTGGCTTACAGTAGTTCACCGCAGTGCTCAGCTTTTAGGTAGCGTTTGAGGAGAGAGTCTCTGTTTTCTGTCACTCCAGTTTTTAAGGCAGTGTCTTTTGGGCCCAGTTGGTTGTTGAAACCTTCCCCTCACACCCCCTTTACCTCTTCAGCATCTGTAAGAATAGCAGTGGCTGGAGAGAAAGAATGCAGGGTCAGAGGACCTACCCTTAGCTGGCTCTGGCTAAGATAAATGTCCCACGGTGGGCAGGTTAGCGTTGTTAACAGTTTGCCCTTTGTGTCTTGATTCAGGCTCCAAGTGTTCCGGGTTCCACAGCTGCTTCACTTGTGCCTGTGGCCAGCCGGCATATGCCCACGACACAGTGGTGGAAACAAGGCAAGAAAGGCTGGCTCAGGGAAAACCAGTAGGACAGGATGTGCCCTACGCTGCAATGGGAGGTCTAACTGGTTTCAGCTCACTGGCAGAAGGCTACATGCGCTTAGATGACAGCGGCATTGGTGAGTGAGGAAGTGCGAGCTTGGCAAAGAGGTGCACCAGCAGGAACAACATCTTACACTGACGTAGCATTTCAGAGTCATTTTCTTTCAGAAAAGTTTCCCTTACTCGGTTTTTATTTTAAAAACTTTGTTGCACTATACAACATATTGTTATAGAAAACTGACAAAACCCAAGAGAAAAGATTATTCTGTGGCAAAATTTAACCTGAGTCCCCCATCCCTGTTGGTGGGAGGAGCTTAAGGACACCTGTCTGCTGCAACTGAGTTACTTGTTACTTTATTGTGTGCAGCTTGCTATTGTAATGCTTTCTCTCCCCTTCCCCACCGTCTTTCCTTTTCCTTCTCTTTTCCATCTTTTCTCACTGACCTATATCAAGTCCTTAAACTGCTATATGTACTAATACTTTTATTTACTTTGCAGATATTTTCTCCGATATGCCGTTAACCGTTTTATTTGAACACTAAAAGTGTTATTTTGTTCTTATTTATGTGTCTGTGTTTCTGTGTGTGTCTGTGTGTTAGCGTGCCTGTGGGGCAGGAGAGGGCTTCAGGTCCCTGGTGCTGCAGTTACAGGCAGTTGTGAGGCACCTGGCACGGGACCTGGGAACAGAGCTTGGTCCCTGGAAGAGCCGTAGGCACTCTCTATCAGGACTGTCCCCCTAGCTCCTGATGTTGATGTTGTTTAAAAAGTTTGTAACTAGGTTTTGTGATTCCACTTTTTATACTTTGTTTTATAAATGTATTTTTCTGTCTTCATTTTATCTTAATAAATAATTTCTTCTTTTTCATGAAGTTAAGATTTACTTTTGTGAACATGTGAGATACTGTAAGTTTTTGTTCAAATTGATGCTGGTTAAACAACTACCATTTTTTTTTCTCAAATAATAGGAGACACTGTCATATTCTATCATACTTGTTATTTGTTTGCCAGTAGCACACATACTTAATTTCTTATTGTGTCACGGTATGCTTTGATATTTAACACACTTCCTGTTTGTGTTCATCCGTCAAAATTATGATACTTTAACATATTTTTTTTTACATAATTATATAACTAGTTTGTTAAATCACATAAGCAAATTCTTCTATTCTTCTGTAGATTGAATGTACATGACTTTTTGTTTTTATTTTTTGAGACAGGGTTTCTCTGTGTACCATTGACTGTCCTGGAACTCACTCTGTAGACCAGGCTGGCTTCAAACTCACAGAAACCATTTGCCTCTGCCTCCAGAGTGCTGGGATTAAAGGCACTGCCACCACCGCCACCTCCTGCTGTACATGATTTTCTTAGCTTGGGTAACAGCTTCAGAAAACCTAAACATAAGTGCCGAGGTGATGACGATGGTTGGAACTTTCTAGTGCTCAGAGTTGTTCCAACCGCTTTACGTGACCTTATGTGTTCCTGATAGCAAGTCTGTGACTTACACCGTCATTTCTGTTTTACAAATGAGGAGTTAAGACATTACACAGGTTGCTCCTGCCCAGTGGTTCTCAAGCTATGGGTTACAACCTCACTAGAGTTGTATATCAGATATCCTGCATATTGGAAATTTCCATTACCATTCATAGCAGCTAGCAAAATTACAGTTATCAAGTAGCAATGAAATAATTTTATTGTTGGGAGTCACCACAACATGAGGAACTGTATTAAGGGTCACGCATTAGGGAAGTTGAGAACTAGTGCTCTTGTTCATCAGCTAGTTGGACTGGGTGCAACCCAGAGATTGCTCTAGACTCTGTGGTCTGCCTCATTCTTGTCTGTTTCTCTATAGCCACCATATTGTTTTCATATTGCAAGCACAGAGTAAATAAGTGAATTCACATAATTTTACTACCTCAGAATATTCTTGACCTATTTTTAAAGTTTTTCAGAAATTTGGCCTAATTTTTTTTTATTATAAAAACATTGCAACATTTTACTTAATAGCACATTAGCTATGCAGATTAATATAGAGAGAACTGATAATTTATATTTTGTCTTCATTTATTTGTGCTTTTTCTGTGCAGACAAGTGGAATTTTGAAATTCTTTTTCTTTTTTAAAGACTTATTTATTTATTTCATGTATATGAGTACACTGTCGCTGTCTTCAGACACACCAGAAGAGGGCATCGGATCCCATTACAGATAAGGTTGTGAGCCACCATGTGGTTTCTGGGTATTGAACTCAGGACCTCTAGATGAGCAGCCAGTGCTCTTAACTGCTGAGCCATCTCTCCCATACAATTCTTATTGTTTCTATTTAATCTTTAAATTTTTTTAAAAAGACATTTATTTATTGTGCGGTTATGTGTGTGATATATTTACCTCCTTTTTACACAGATCTTCCTCATCCTTTCAGTGGTTTTAGGACCATTCTGAGTGATAATGGTGAACTCCCATCTTGGCCTTTCTAATGTTTGTCCCTCAAGTTGCTTCAGTGTACAGAAAGAAACTTTTCATCTTGCCCATCTCTCTCTGTTTTTTTACTTTTCTATTGCTGTGATAAAACACCATTCCCTGGGCAACTTCTAAAAGAAAGTGTTTAATCTGGGCTTGCGTTTGCCATTGGTTGGAGTCCCTGATTGGGAATGAAGGCATGGCTGTAAGAATACCTGAGAGCTCACATCTGGAGCCACAACTAGGAGGCAGAGAACTCGCTGGGGATGGTGTGGGCTTTTGAAACCTCAAAGCCCAACTCCAGTGCTAAACTTCCCCCAACAAGTCCACACCTCCTAATCCTTCCCAAAAAGTTCTATCCGGTGGGGGGGGGCAAGTATTCAGATATATGAGTCTATGGGCTACTCTTATTCATGCCAGCAAAAACCATGAGGAAGTGGGGTGGTAAGCAAAGGTAAGTGAGGAGAAGAGATCCAGAATTTTCTGTCCTGCTGAAAGAGAACCCAGTGGGGGTGGGGCTTAGGCTCTGAGCCATGTAGGGTTCTAGATAGTGGTGCTCTATGCCTGGGACTTGATTTCTGTGTGATATAGAAGCAGTCCACACAGCTCCCAGGAGGGTATGGGAGACAGTTGAGCCCTGAGACGATGGGTCTGCTATGCTGTCTATCATAGTGGGGCTCAGGTGACCTTAGAGTACAGCTAAGGTAGATCCCCAGCACTGGAAGATCCAGTGCGAAGTGACAAACCTTGGTGGAATCCGGATTTTCGGTGAGACCAAGTGGGAGACCACCAGGCCCTATCCATGTAGAGACCAAACTACAAAAGAGGCCAGCCCTTAACACTGGAGATCCAAGCAGCAATCAAGGAGAGGATTACAGGTGATAGTCCATTCCTGAGGGAGGCTGTTGAAGTAAAGGTTTAAAATCGGCCACTGGTCAAGCCAACTGTCTAAGCTGTGGAGGCTCTGCCTAGCTCAGCTGCCATGTTTCTCGGCCAGAGGCCACATGTGTGCCACAGCTAGAAATGGCCAGAAAGAGACACTAGCCCTGCCACCCACAAGATGCCAGCGTGGGAGACGGCTCTACCAATCTTCCACGCTGTCTCCAAAAGGCTGGGCATTGCCCAGACCATCCTGCCATCCGCTGGGGCCCAGTAGAAAGATGAGACTCTAATGCTTAAAGATTAATCAAAGGCTTCTATATTTGGTAATGATCAGTAACAAGATGTCCACACAATCAGAGGTGTAACCCAATACCCAATCTAGATATACCAACTACCTTTGACTGCTACAGACACGTAAATATCTGCCTCCATCTCCTCTCTCTCTCTCTCTCTCTCTCTCTCTCTCTCTCTCTCCTCTCCTCCTCTCCTCTCCTCTCCTCTCCTCTCCTGTCCTCTCCTCTCCTCTCCTCTCCTCTCCTCTCCTCTCCTCTCCTCTCCTAGCTCCTCCTCTTCCTTTTCCTCCCCTCCTCCTTACTCCTCCTCTTCCTCTTCCTCTCCTAACTTCCCCCACATTAGCTCCTCCTACAGGAGGCCATGGCAGGAAGCTAGTCAGAAACTGAAGCAGAGATGGAAGAACTCTGCTTACTGGAAGCTTCCCATAGCTTGCTCTACCTCATACAACCCAGGACCTCTAGCGGGGAAGTTGCATGCCTGTAATTCCAGCACTGGGGAGGCAGAGATAGGGGATCTACATAGTGAGTTTCAGGACAGCCAGGACGACATTTCGAGACCCTGTCTAACAAAACAAAACGACAAAACAAAACAAACACTCTGAATAACAACTAAAGAGGACCTCGTGCCCAGAGGTGATGTCACCCGCAGTGTGCTGGGCTCTCCCGCATCAATCATTTCTTTTTCTAAAGATAAATTAATTAATTAATTTTAATTTGGTGTATGTGTACGCTGTATGCATACAGGTGCCTTTGGCGTCCACAAAAGGGTATTAGATCCCCTGGAGGTGGTGTTACAGACATTTATGAACTGCCTGTTATGGGTTCTGGGAATTGAACTCTGGGAGAGCAATGCTCTTAAGCACTGAACCATCTCTCTGGCCCCACCAACCATTTCTAGTTAGGGAAGTACCCTACAGACACGCCCGCAGGACAGTCTGACCCAGGCAGAGCCTCAGCCGAGGTTCCCTTTTCTCAGATGACTCTAGTTGGTATCCCGTTGACAGACCCTGAGGTGCTCACTGGTTTTCTAGTAAGGGGTAGGTAAGAAGTTCAGCTCACCTTCTACTGAATGTTTTGTTGTAGTGTTTCATGACTATATTAGGGCCTGGTACTTCTTCCTGACATAGTTACATTACTAGCTAATACTTTTCCTCCTGGAATGTTTCTGAGAAATACAAAAATTCTTTTTTGTTTGTTTGTTTTTGTTTTTTGAGACAGGGTTTCTCTGTGTAGCCCTGGCTGTCCTGAAACTCACTCCGTAGACCAGGCTGGCCTTGAACTCAGAAATCCTCCTGCCTCTGCCTCCCAAGTGCTGGGATTAAAGGCATGCGCCACCACTGCCCAGCATAAAAATTCTTTTTTGATGTGTTTTTTTTTTACCCCCTTTGGATGAAAGATAAAATTTTAAAATAAAATTTCCTTGGGATGGAGAGATGGCTGGGTGGTTGAGAGCACTTGTTGCTTTTGCCAAGTACCTGGGTTTGAGTCCCAGAACCCATGTGACAGCTCATAAGTTTCTGCAACTCCACTTCCAGAAGATCCAACACTGGGCGCCAGCACATGCATGATACACAGACATATGCAGGCAAAACACCTATACACAGAAAATAAAAATAATTTAAAATAAAGCCTTCTGTTGACCTGTTTCCTGATTTATGTTTGGTGCTTTGTTTTTTTTGAGTTGGGACCACAGTGTGCTCTTCAGATCCATGTCATGTCTCATTTCCCGAGGGTGTAAGATTATAGGCCTGTGCTACTTTGGCCAGCTAAGAATGAAGGTTGTTTTTAAAAAAAATTCTGCTGATATTCTGATTTACTTCACAGTACAAATGATGAGTTGCTTGTATCTTTATAAACAGATACTTGATTTCCATTCTCCACATTTCCTGTTTCCAGGTGCACCCTCGGTTGACATTTTGGACTCTCCGGTTTCGGCCATGGACCATCCATTCCTAAGAGCCATGCACACGCCATCTACTTCTTCTCCACAACCACTAGCAGGTGGTAACGAAGGTAAAAAGTTGTTTTTGGTGATGTAACAGGATAGAGCTTTGATGTGCTTCCTAGGCTACAGACCGGAGTAAAGACTTCCCCAGAGTCCAGGGTCGTGAACCAGAGAGCTTTTATTGGGGTTGCCAACAGGAACATGGGCGAGGAGCAGGGATAACTCAACCGTCGCTGCCTTAGCAGAAAGGCCCCAACTCAGTGAAGAGCTGCCTCCGGGAGCTCCCCATGCAGCTTGCAGGCAGTGTCACAGGCTGGCTGGGACCGCTTCCCAGGGATTGGCTGTCCCTTCTTCCTGAGCAACTCTTCACTCCTTTTTTTTTTTTTTTTTTTTTTTTTCCCTGCTGCTGGGTTGGAGCCCTCTAAAGATCTGAATTCTTGTTTTCTCCCTACTGGTGACCTTCTGTTTACTCCGTATTTTCCTCTGAGGCGGTAGGCCTCCCCTTCCCTCCTCCAGGCAATGTTTCAATTTAGAGGGAATGTTGCGATTGGCTGCCAGGCTATCCCAAACCAGGACTCTGGGTTTTGTAGTAGACCCGGTCTTAAAATGTAAAGTGAAGAGTGGTGGAGGAAGACACCTGACATTAACCTCTGGCCCTCTCCCTCTCCCCTACCCCTCCTCTTCCCTTCCCCCTCCCCCTCTTTCCAGTTCTGGAACTTTCCAAAGCAGTTAGTATCATTTCTGTGGCTGCCAATAGAAAGCCTCAATAGTGCACAAAGCTATGCATCATCTCTAGTTACAGCCTAAAAATAGTTGGAAAATTGTGTATTTGTGTGTGTGTGTGTTGGGGGTGGGTGTGCATGTGGAAGTCAGAGGACTACTGCTCTGTGTGTGTGTGTGTGTGTGTGTCTCAGGGTTGGGGGTTGGTAGGTGTGCATGTGTGGAGGTCAGAGGACTGCTTACTCTGTGTGTGTGTGTGTGTGTCAGGGTTGGGGGTTGGTAGGTGTGTGTGTGTGTAGGTCAGAGGACTGCTTGCTCTGTGTGTGTGTGTGTCAGGGTTGGGGGTTGGTAGGTGTGCATGTGTGGAGGTCAGAGGACCGCCTAATGAAGTTGGTGCTTTCCTTCCAACATGTGTGTCCTGGGGATGAACTCAGCTTGTTAGGTTGGTGGCAAGCACTTTACCTACCAAGTCTTCTGTCGTCTTTCTCTTCTACTTTTCTAGACAGTGTTTTAGTCTGTAGCCTAGGCTAGTCTGGAACTCGCTATATAGGTACCTCAGGCTGGCCTCCAGTTTTAACTCTTCCTGCTGGAAGCCCTCAGTGACTTGGATTGGGTGTGAGCTCTGTGTCTGGCTCTGGGCTACTCACGTGGCATAGCCGTGTGGTGTTATTAATAGGAGCCAGTTGAATATTTGGAGAATGTTTGCCACTGGAAGTTACTTTTGTTTTGTGATGAGATTCTTGCCAATAAAGAGTTCAGACCATTTAGTCTATTTCTGGTTTGGATAATAAACTGTTATGACTTGGGATAAAGGAATTCTGTCTCCTCTTCCATCTCCTTTAGGGGGACATGTAATGTCATAAATACATGACTGAGATGTTTTTTCTCATGTTAGTAGGTCCAAGTACTCAGCTATCTTCCTTAAGGAAACCTGAAGAGGATGATATGGCTTACTTTGAAAGACAATACCAGGAAAGGGTAAGTGTTTGCAGAAAGCTACTTGTATAATAAGGCTTTACCTGAAATACAGACACCACAGAAAGATTAGTGCTTGTATGTGGAACATCATTGAAAGTAATCCGTAAAGGCCTAACTCACAGATGGTGTTAGGCTTTGAAGCTTCCTTAAAACAATTCACATAGAAAAAGGAGTAATTCGTAAATAGGACGAGTATACCAGCTGATTCATATTGATTAAATAGATAAATAAAATTAGCGTCAACCGTCTGCATACTTGTAAATTTGGGTATCTTGAATTTTTTATACATGGCTTAAAACAATTAAAATATGTAAGTGTCAGGGGTGAGGCTACGGGGAGGCCGGTTGATGTGTGCAGGGCTGCATAGGAGGAATACCCTCTAATATTCTGTAGCTCACCAGGGTGGTCATGGTTCGCAGCAGCTGCAGAATGGCTAGGGGAGAGGCCTTGAATGGCAAGAGAGAAGAGAAGGAGAGCGAGGGAGAGAAACGCTTGCTGCATGGGTCTCCAATGTTAAGGGCTGGCCTCATTTGTAATTTGGCCTCTTTGTGGATAGGACGGACCTGCTCGTCTCCCACATGGTCTCATTGCAAATCTGGATCCTACCAGCTCCAAGGCCTGTCACTTCCCCCATAGGAACAGATAAAGAAGTACTTGGTAGGTGTTTGAAGCAGTAGACACGCCAACTACCTTGATGGACGTGATAACATTTCGTGTGGGTGTTGAGCCGCACTGCACACAGCAAGGTTCTCCATCTTCCTGTCGTCCTTCCATGGTGCCTTGCTAAGTAAGCTCCCATGTAACTGAGGAGGTGGAAGTACGATATTAAATAAATTCTCCACGCAAGAGCAGAGGCAGTATACCAAAAAACAAGATTATCTTAGCTTCCCCCAGGAGGAATTTTAAAGTCTACTGGGAGGGTCCTGAAGTCGGGAGGGGAGCATCCTGGACACAGTTTAGACCAGAGAGAAATGGTGGAACGTTTTACAGTGATGGAAACTGTCTCTATCTGTGTTGTAATCACTTACCATATAAGTGATTGTGTAAGTCTAAATTTAATAGAATTAAAAATGAAAAAAAATGTCCCATAGTTACACTAGCTGAGGGAGGCTGAGGTGCTCAATATTCACACGTGTCTAGTAGCTCTTACTTGGACAGCAAAGATAGAAATCCTTTCCACCATTGCAATCAATTCTTTTGGAGAACTTGGTCTTAAGGATATCTCTGTTTGGGTGGTTTTAACAAAGTACCATAAACAATAGAAAGTTACTATATTTTTGAGGCCAGGGAGTCTTAAGTCAGGGTGCTTGCAGATTTGATGTCCCTTGAGTACTGCCTTCTGGTCCACAGTTAGTGCCTTCTTTCTGTGTGGCAGCGAATGAGGGAAGGCAGCAAATGAAGGAAGAAGGCAGCAAATGAGGGAAGAAGGCAATGAATGAGGGAAGGCAGCTCTCTGGCATCTTTTTCATAGACAACAACTGCATTCTTGACAGTTATCTACTATTGGCATTTTATACGTGTGCTTTTTGTTGTTGGTGGTGGTGTGTTGGTGTGTGTGTATGTTTCTAAGTTTGGATTCTATGCCTGACAGTGGGTGCCAAATTTTAGTGTTATTTTTATAAAGTGTGTTGCACTTTTCCTCTAGATTCTAAATAATAATTGAGACTGGGCTATTATAAGTAGGTAACAATCTTTAAGGGCTCAACAACTGAGCAGTATTATTTTATTTTAATCTTCTAAACGAATCTGGCTACTTCTCAGTCAAAATCCCCACAATACTTGCATTTTAGTACTGATCTAGCTCTCTGGGCTCCAGGTTTTTTCTCATGGCTTTTTTTTTTTTTTTTGGACTCTTTCCTTGTGGAGAATCTCTCCCCTCCTTCTTCCTCCCTCTCCTATCATCCTCTCTTCCTCCTCTTTTAGCTAGGAGGAAGTCCAGCCGTATTCTCTCCCTTGCTCAGTCATTGGCTGATCTGCTAGCTTTATTGACCAATCAGCGTATAGCTGGGGAACAATGTTTACACAACATTGAGACAGGAGATTTTTATACTAAGGATTACAACCAGATATGGAGGCACAGAAACCAGCATTTGACTAATACAAGAATAATCTTTACACAGTTGCCTACAGTTGTTCCCATAATCGGCCTACCACTGAAAGTTCACATCCCCTCGTATCATCGGTAATTGAGTTTCAGAGTGTGAGTTTGGCAGGGACACAGACACTTGGAAGTCATAGCAAAGGGAAAGGCAGAGCCAAAGGACCTTAGAGAAGAGTTGGAGTTAAAAGGCTGTTTTTGTAGCATGTTAGGGGCAGGACTTATAATCCAGTCAGTCTTCATTCTCGGAACACATGCTTACAGGTTCATTTTAGGTTTTCTGGGTTCTGAAGCTCCTCCTGTCCCTCCCCATGGGCCTGGATAGTGTTGGATGTTTGAAAGCATGTCAGTGGTATTTGTTTGCTGGCAGATAGTGAGTGGAGTTCTTAGTTATGAATGCTTCACGTTACTTATTGTAAGTAAACCTACACTAATGAATTTATGAGTTGCAGTTTATAACTTTCTAACCCAATGGTTAATTATTTTCTGAGTCAGTTTTTAAACTCTCTGCATTGTGGTTAATGGAATATAAAACTAAGAAGACAACACTGAAATGCTCTCCCTTGTGTAAGCAAAAAGTCTTTACAACTTACTTTTAATAAAGGTTCAACCTCTCCTCTAGCCCACCACCCAACAGAAGAGAAAAGTTATTAGGATATGGGGGAAGTGGATCTGTTCAGCAATAGTTCTTTGGAGGCGAGCTCGATCTTCTTGGGCAGCAGTTCAGTCCTGCAGCAAACACCAAATATGACTCAGCAGTTGCAGACCGGTTTTCTAGGCAGGCAGACACCAGGCATGAACCAGCAGCTGCAGTCCAGTCCTTTTAGCAAGCAGACACCAGGCAGCTGTAGTTCAATCCTGAAGAAGCTGCCAGGTTTCATTTGAGAATTTCGGAGTGTATATAATGTATTTGGATCATATTTATCCCTGCCCCATCTCCCCATGGTTTCTTTTTTTGTTTTTGTTTTTCGAGACAGGGTTTCTCTGTATAGCTCTGGCTGGTCTCGAACTCTGAAATCCGCCTGCCTCTGCCTCCCAAGTGCTGGGTTAAAGGCGTGCGCCACCACTGCCCGGCTCTGTGGTTTCTTGATATTACTTCTGTCATCTAAGCTTAGAGGCCCCATTTCTACTTTGGGGCTCTTTATTTTTTGTTCATCTCCTTGAAAGTTTGAGACACTGACGTTGTACCTGGAAATGGTCCTAAGGGATGGTGACGAAGAAATAGTGCGCTGTGTTATTGGGAGTCCCTACTGTCATGCAAAGGCTCATGTGTCTCGAAATTAGACAGCTGTTGCTGGGGCTTCTGATTCTGAGTCCTAGGAACTGAGCCTTATGGGTGTTGGTGTTCCAGAGGATCCTGCTGAATTAGGTGTATTCTGTAGCTGCATGGAATGAGCAGAGGCTGGACGTATGTTAGGATTTTAAGCATTTAGGAATACATCAGGGACAGTTCAAGTTCATTTCTACCCAGGGCAATATGCATTTATATATTCTTTCATCAAACCTCCCCTGAGAAGCTAAAGCCAGTCATTTCAAGACATTCAGGTGTTCCTCATTTGTGGTCAGATTTTGGATTTAGTGTTTAGCAGTTAATGACTCTTGTGGTCATGTTTAATAAGGCATGGCTAACAAGGGATGCTCAATCTTTATTTAGGATAATTAAAAATTTCATCAATAAATGCTTTAAATTTACAGATAAAAATGGAGAGGGCCGCGAAGCAGAAAGGAAAAGCCCCAGCGCTGCCAAGCACGAAGCCTTCCTGAAGTCTGTTGGACAGACCGAGCCACCATCCAGATGCATCTTCTATTTATTTAAGTTTATTTTCTCTCAATCTGTGTACATTCTTATCGTGTGAATATGTCTTTTTGAATTTTGCTTAGCTTATTGAAACAAGTGAAATGAATTGTTTATGGTCAGAATTCACGACTTAAGCACTTTATATACCTTTTTAAGATAGTCTGTTGGGTAGCCCAGACTGGCTTTGAAGTCACAGTACTCCTGCCTCAGGATACATATACCTTCTCTCTCTCCTAGCAAGTTTTATATGTTATTTTCATGTACAGTAAATATTTTTAGTTTATTGTAATTTAACTTTTCTAGTTTACCTAAAAGATTAAAGATATTATTAAAGGTTTTTAAACAAATAGCTAGGGTCATTTTTTTTCATTCAAAGTAGCAAGACTTGTCTTGAGTATCCTGTTGTGGCTGGGTCACTAAGTGCTGCACTCTGTGCCCTTAGTGACAGTCACTCAGCTGGCTCACCTGATATGACCATTGTGCCTTCAGGTCTGGGCAGTGCCTAGGTTTCATGCCGTCTTCCCCTCAGTAGAGCAATCTGCGAGGGCTGTAGCAGTGGCTGCATGCTTCTACCAACCTGCTGGGCCTCACCTCCAGCTGGCTGGGGACTGTCCCTACTCAGTAACCTGTTCTTTGCCTGCTGCCACGGTGCTGCTTCTCCTGTTTTTAACGTTCTCTTACCTCCGAGTTTCTGAGCCGTTGATACAGTATTATGCCCGCAGCCGTACCACCCATCCACAGAGTCACCCTGCCTCTGGGTACCAGCAGGAGTCTTAGCAATAACCCAATGTTTATGGTGCTTCAGAAACCTTGAATCAGACCAATAACTAGTTGCAATAAGTATTTGCATGTGAGGCTGTTTGTGAAAAGAAAAAGTATGACACACTGCTGTTTGCAGTGCCAAGTCAATGAATAAACATGCAAGGAGAGATGGGAAAGATGGCGGAACTGAGGGGCTGTGGTGGTGACCTGTGTGGGAGTGCAGCCTCGGTTGACGAAGGAGCTTGTTGTTACCTAGTACTGCCTACAGGGTGGTGTGCAGCAGCCTGGGGCTCATGTAGGCTCTGCTTCTGAATGTGATGCCCAGCTACAAGGCTCTAGGCAATGGCAGGGTGTCCAAGAGGAAGAAAGGTTTATTTTGTGGATTGGACCTCCCCGTAAGACCTCCACAGTCTGTGTTGCTGCTGGAGGCCATGTTGACTAGTGGCCTGTGCTATAGCCAGAGGCCACATAGATGTCAGTGGTCCGTGCTGCCTCTGGAGGAGACCATTGGAAGTCTACTACCTATGCTGCTGCTGGCTGTTAGGACAAGGAAGCTTCTTTGCTGTGGTATCGATGACTAGAGACTCACAGTTGAGAATGAGAGACAGTGAAAGCTTCTACGATACCCCCTCCCCTCCCCAAATGATACCCCCTCCACTCCCCAAAAGAAACTGTCTGGACAGGAAGCCATTGAAGAGAGTACTTAAAAACTATGCCAGGGTTGCCGAAGTATAGCTCTTCGCAGCTGATAGCTTCTGACAGGGGAGCAGGGTAGGACTCACTAATCTTATGTGGCTGGCCATTGGGAATTTAACCATGTTCCAATGAGTATATGTGCAACACAAATTGAACTTGATACAGTTTTCCTTCCTATGCTTTTTTTTTGGGGGGGGCATACACAAGGGTGGGAAGGTTGTAATTTTAATTTTTTCAAATCCTATTTTTAATGATGATCTTAACCTCCCTTTTAGCCCACCACCCACCGGTAGTTGGAAAGACAAGATATGGGGGTGGGGGGTGGGGAAGTGGACCTGTTTAGAAAGGTTCTTTGTAGCAACTCCTGCCTGTGTTGTCTGGAAATCAGCAGTTCAGTTCACAGGTTAGCAGGCAGCTCGATCCACTTGCAAACACTTCACCGGCACACCAGCAGTCCAGTTCAGTAGAGTCAGGTTAGTGACAGCGGTGACACAACCTAGCAGAGACAGCCAGGCCTCAGCTTCGGCTAAAAACAGCAGGAGGGACCAGTAGGAACACCAGGAGAAGTTCTCAGTTCTGCCTCTCTCAGGAAAGTGAAGATCAGTGAAGATATGAGATCCACAAGCATTGCACAGCTAGCTGTGCCAGCAAGCCGAGCTCTGTCTCCATCACTCCCTGGAGTCCTACTCCAAACATCACGTGTCCTCCACGTGCCTTGCCTCAGCACAGGTCTTGCCTTAACACATGCATCCAACCAGCCCGAGTCAGCGGAGTCCAGACAAATGGAGCTCAAGTGTGCAATATAGGGTGGACCAATACGTGTGTGCTGTTAGCAAAGAATCCTTCATCACGTGTCCTTTCATGTGTTTGCTTTAGCAGAGCATCCTCTCTCCTGTGTCTGCTTCAGTGAAATTCCTTCATGAGTCTGCCTTAGTCTTTCACCTGTGTCCACTTCAGGAAAACACTCCTTCCTGTGTTTGCCCCAGCAAAACACCATCCAACACAACTGACTCTCCAAAGACCCCTTAAGTTTAGAGGGTAGACCTGGAAGGTCTAGGAATCAAATGTGATTGGGGGTACATTCATTATCTGAAATTCTCAAATAATAAAAATATGTTGGGAGGAAAGAAAAAAAACCCTGGAGAAGTTACAGTCTGAATTTTCCCTAGGAAGCCTTGGATGATATTCACCATTAAGGTCTTAAGACATGTAATGGCTGAGAATGTTCTGGAAACTGAGAACGCAGAGTGTTGGACCGATACAGGTTAAAATTAGTGGAAAACACTGCTGTTATCTTGGACTCCGGTTAGAGCAGATTGGTGATGGGAGTATCACGTTGTGGGATTAAACTGTGAAAGGCTTATAAAATTAAATGCACAACAAGGCATGAGCCTGATTAAATTCATCATCCAAAGGGCAGGATAGAAAGACAGTTAAGATATTTGAGGTGTATAACTACTCCTGCCTCATCTCTCATCTTTCAAACACAACAAATATAACAAAACAAACCTCCTAAACTGTGATAACTGGCAAACAGAATGCTCACATAAGTTATGGTAGTGAATAAAAATAGAAAAACCAAAAGGCAAAAATCAACCATCCAAACAACCCCTCCCCACACAGTTTCTTAACTACTTACCTGTTCCGAGTTCAGTCTTGGTTCTAGGAGGAAGAGAGCCCAGGTCCCTTCAGTAAGGATCTCATATCCCCTGAAAGTCCTTAGGAGGCAGATATTTACCAGGGTAACTTGTTGGGTGACGTTTTTTATATGCTAATATTCAGATGCTGATTGCTGTACCCACAGATCTGGTTGCAGTCCAGAATTTGGTGTATTTAAAAATTTGTCTTAAAACAACTTTATTATAAAAAAGCTACAAATCAAAAAGCATTACACAGCAAAATTGGCTAGATCCAAAGATGACACAGCTCAATGAACTTCTATATGCTTGAAATAGCCATTCAAAACTGAAGCTGTGGCACTTCACACTGGATATTACATTTCACTCTCAAATATATTTTTATACACTCATCTGCAAAAAAATCCGTAACTGAGTTGGAACTAGAAAAAGCTTTATATCCTTTCATAACTGTTCATTCCTTGCATTCAGTCTTTCATTTACTATTTAGCCATTCGAAAAAAGAGTGCTTAAAAAAAAACAACATAAAAAGAATATTCTTGGGTTGTACCTAAAGTAGTATTTACAGGAAAACTTATGACACCAAATGTTTATATCAGCAAAGAAATTGGTGGTCCCAGCCATTATATTATGTAGGCAGAAAACTACAGAAAGGTAAACACTCCAGTCAGTACATGGGCAAATGAGATGAACATGCCAACCTGCAAGGAAGAATAAATGACAAAATGTTCAATACCGTAACAGGAACCCAGATCAAAGCTCCACAGAGACTTCAAGTTTTTCATAGAACAGGCATCATCAAGGAAGCAAAGGACTGCAGGTGCTGGTGAGGACGTGGTAAGATACTGGGGATTTGCTGGGGATGCAAATCTGGAAATCTGTTTGGAAGCTTCTCAAGAAATCAAAAATAGAACTAGCATTTGAGTTAGCTATACCACACCTGGGTTCATACCCCCAAAGAATCAATACTGTACAAAACAGATACCCGCATACCAATGTATGTCACATTGGTTGATATGGACTCAGTCTAGGGCCTGTCAATGAAGGAATGGCTAAAAGAACCACACTTTTTAAAAAATGTCATGCAGTACTATTTTGTTTAAGAAAAATTAAATATCACTTGTAGAAAAATGGATAGAACAAGACATCACCATTTTAAGTGAAATAAGTCAGACTCAGAAAGACAAATATGTAGATTCTCATGTAGAATCTAGATAAAGAGACAGAACAATAGAAGGACTAGCTGGGAAGAGGAAGAGAACCCGGGAGGGGAGTGACGGGAGCCAGGATAATGAGATCCAAGTGCATGTGTAAATATGTTGCAGTAAGATGCGTTATTCTGTGGAGTTAATATGTAACAAAGAGAGAACTAAGCAGTTAAGAGGAAATGATAAAGATTAGGCCATGAATTGAAACGAGCAGGAAAACTCAAGAAGAAGTCAATAGAGTTCATTGTTTTCCTTGGAGACCAGTAAGCTTGTATCATGACTGATCAATGTGCGTGTGGTGGGGACAGGGTGATGGCACAAATTGTAAATGTTAGGAATGTGACTGTTGTCATTACCATAGATTCTATAGTTACTAATAATGTAAATATTTCTCTCCCCACTACCCCATTCTTTGCTAATGCAACCAGTCAAACTCCTTGGAGAACACTGAGGGGGAAGTGAGCCCTCCATGTGGAATCTTTAAGGAGCATTCTGATAATGTTAGGTAAATGACAGAGAAATGTGAGATTAAAGGATTCTTTATGCTCATGGATCCTGGAAAAGGAAGGCAAGGCAAGCCTCTTAAAGGTTCCTGTAGGAAGAAGAGTCACTGAGGGAACAGGCTCAGTGAAGCAGGCAGGAAGTTGACTGTGACCATCCATC